TATTTTCATATATTTCCTGCCTCCTTATACGACCTTGATTTGCTCCTAGGAATCTTTTCCCTAATTCTTGGCACTACAACTTTGAGCCTTGGCCTCCCGGTGTACCAGTTTCCTTACAACACCAGACTCATATAATGTTCTCGCATTTCAAGAGCACAGTTTCAAGTTTCGAATCCTTTTTCCATTGCCGGGTAGCCTTCAAGAGGAAGAATGTCGAAGACTTTTCCTTGGCTTCGCAACTAGAATTTTTTCCTGGAAGGGGCCGTTGACACTCATGCCTAACCTGGATAACTAATTATAGAAGTTTTGAATTTTATTGGTTGGTAATTCCTGGCGCCTAAGGTCACTAGTCACGTAAGTGTACTGCATGTTTTATCGTGAAAAGTAGTGGTGACCTTCACCCGCTAGATGGCCATATCCGACACCGACCTACCCGTCGCTCTGGAATTTTTATCCCCAACCAGATATCTCCCACCAGCTAGCACCACAATAGCAGGAACAAGCTCTAGGCCCTCTCTAAGCAGACAGTCTCCCGGCATGTGTGATGGTGTAGGGTTGTAAGTGCTAGTGTAAGTAAGGGGCGAAGATGGGAGAAAGGAAAGATCGCGCGCGTTCTGTGGGCCGTTTGTTAGAGTACTGCTCCGTCATCCGACTGGTGTCGATTGGATAAACCATGGAAAACTTCCAATCAGATTAGACGGACGCTAGAATTCTCCCCTAGGCAGCGATTAAATTTGAACTAATATCGAAAATCCTGCCACCGTCAGGAGTGGAACCCTAGGACCTCCTGGAGAGAGACACTTCAGTGCCATCAGTTGATGCCCTGAGCCACGTCTCGCGGAGTTTCGAAATCGAACTACTCTTGTCCTAGCCTGGCCTGCCATTAGGCTTATGGAGCCCAGTCTGCCCCATATCTCAGATCACTTTCTCTGCCCTCTTGGCCGTTGAGTGCTTTCCATCTTCTTCCGACCTCAGGGTTGCTGCTCTCCCTCTTCTGGAGTACTTTTTCATCTGATCCCTAAGCTTTGACCTCTCCGGCAAGAGAGGCCCTACTGCTTGCTATGCTACAGCTCCCTGGATCACTGGCAATCTCAAAACCTACCACGAAAGAAAAGGTCCTGTACTGCATAGACGGGGTATTAGATTGAAATTAAAAAACATTCGGTATTCTTAATGCGAATACTCATTCGGACGTGAAATGGTAATTACGACGAAACTATTTTGAATAAATTGAATATATATATATATATATATATATATATATATATATATATATATATATATATATATCGCTACAATCCTCATTTTCTCATGAATACATTAAAATGCAGAATGTCCATTGTTAATTGGCATTATCCTCTTCCATTTTTCTTATGCGAACTGAAACTCTTACAAAGAGAGGATGCGTCATTACCAACGTTCTGAGAAACGGCAAGCAGTATGCATTCGCCCCCCACAAAGCACGAGAGCATTCGTCACGATAATTCATTTCAATAATGGTTAATTTAACGAAACGTACTCCATCAGGCTAGCTCTTTCGTTTGGCCATGCTAATTTTGCTACGCTCCTTTCACCATTTAGCGGAGAAAGACGTTATTACTCGAGCGACGCAATATACGATTTAAATTTAGCTCAGATGCTTTTTTTAGGCTCGGTCTTTTACATGCAGTAAATTTACAACATGGGTCCGCCGGCTTCACTTCCCCTTCGAAGGCGTACGAAGGATTTTTCACTTTTAAAAGTCCACGGCTTTGATCAGGTTTGAACCTGCAAACTTGAGTAAAACAGCCCAACTCGCTGACAACTATACGGCCTGTTAAGGTCCCATTAGGTACCTTCTGAAGTTATCGCAATTGCCAGTGGAGGCACGCAAAGACGATATCCATGAAAAGCCGCAAAAGAATTCCAACTGGTTAATTGACTGACATTTTAGTCACTACGCTTTTGATGTAAATCAGTGAAAATAAATTATTTACATCAATGTAATCCCGTTTATATGATCACCAGACGAACTAATAGGGCACGTAGTACTTCGACACTGAATGAAAGAGTACTACTCATACAAACGGGCCAATGATCGTGCATATTCTTCCTCCTTCCCACTACTTCAACACACAGGTACTACGCTACTTCGTAGTAGCGTAGCAGAGCGGAGCCTAGACTGGAGAGAAATAAATAAGTCAATAAGCTAACAATAAGTACGTAATTTTATGTTAAGTTAGTAAACAGTCAGTAAACAGAAATAAGTCATAAGTCGTAGTCAATTGGTAAATAACTGGTCAATACAATAAATAAAATAAAACTGGCATAGTAATAAGCACATTAGGGGGTGAAGGGAAGGGGGGATCGAAAATGTAGGGGCAGAGGCGTTGGTGCGGACGATCTTCTGTGGCGCCGTTTGATTTCAGGTGCTGAGGAAGCCAAGCACTGGAAGGAGACGGCGGGAAGCCCGCGCCAGAAAATAAAATAGCTAAAATAAATGTCGGATAGATTAGAATGTACTCGGCTTCTGACGGCAGGTTTTTCCCCCTTCAGGGGTTTTTTCCTGAGCCGTACCTTGTGGTCTCTTTTCCGCGGCTTTGATGCGATGGAGAGACCATTGGGGGTGAAAACCAGAATTCGAAAGATTAGAACGCGAAAGGATGTAGGTATTGTAATGGCTTAAAGGCCTTCGGCCTAGCCACATAGGATCAAGTAATCTAATTTGTTTGTAATAATTACCTATTAAATAAATAAAAATACTTCGTAGTCGCTACTACTGACGGGAGATCAGGGCTTGTCTCAGTGGCCCGCGAGGAGGAAAATAACCTCAAGCCGACTTGTATGTAGGCGTCGGATCTCGCCATACAGCTCGGGAGAAACACCGTCATCTGCCCTAATAAAAACCATTCACTTCACTATCGGAACTAATGACCCTAGCAGTCGATGTGCTGTGGCGCAAACATCAATTGTACGTGAATGGGGCGATGTCTTAATATGGGAAAAACTTGACAAGTCGACCGGATAGGACAATGTACAGTTTTCTTTGTATCTGAGGTGTTTCCATCTTTTTGTGTCAGACAAAAATAAGTCTTATGTGATCCATTTGTCCTCTCTAAATCATGGGAACAGCCAAGGGCACCTTTTCACCTGCATGATAGGACTGTAACAAACGTCACACAGCATGTATGGAAGGCCCATACCTTGTCCTGGTCGCCTACCTCACACTTACAATAAAGTTCATAAACCCTTCCTTACCAGAGGATTAAGGTTCGGATTTTGCGAGTTCGGTGTTTAATTCTCCACATAAATAATCCACATAACGTCTTTGGGCTATTTACACAGTTACGAGGCATTTCGTCTTCTGAATTAATCCAAAGTACAAACCTCGAATAGAAAAATAAGTAGTCCATCCAAGCCGGTTTCCACGCTGTTAGATATCTTAATGCTGGGATGCAACTGACAAGAAACACAAGGCGATTCTATCTGGTCGTGCATGATGTATCAGCAATGTTTCCTATCCTTTTTCATTTCCTAAAGGTGAATTTTCTGAATTTAGTGTCATGTATAAGAATTCGTTGTGCACATTTCGCCTTATCCTGATCAATTACATCTGCAGAATTATTAAATAAAGCTACAGCAAAATAACCAATATGCAGCGTTTTCAAACAATCATTTCTGTAGCGTGCAACAATAAAATTGAGCCCGATAGACAGAAACTGATTTCATATTCGAATTCGGTGTCCAAATCTTAGCTAAGAACACCATTTACATTCTTTGTCACAAAAATGCTGTTGAACAGTGTAATCAGAAGCTGATATTTACTCTCCGTACGGTCGACGGAGACACCAGGGTGTGTTGAGAGGCACTTCACGCTGTGATGCTTGCGTAGACCTTCTGTTGAGATGTATATTTGTTTGTTCTGAATAAATCATTGTTGAAGTGCACAATATCTTTCACTTCTCAGGACACGCTATTCACCTTATATCAGAATATAACATAAATGAAACATACGGAATTAATGTTCTATGTACTTGACACTTCCGAAATTGTTAAATACTCACTCGCACTAGAAACCAACGCGATTGACTATCGATTGAATTCTACCATCGCCACTAACCTCTCGTGCGGTTCCTCTGCAGACTCCTCTGACCAACCTAACTGCCCAGCGACTCATAAAACGCCCGAGGAAACACTAGGAAAGCAAGCGCGCTATCTTTAGCGGCGAATCCAAACAGTGTAAATATAGACACGCAGGACTATTCATGAGCGCAGTCGAATATGTGAGGGGGGATGAAAGCAATCGGAGAAGTCCTATTTCGGAGTATTTCACTGTTAAAACAAAACTGGGCGTTTCGGATTACACAATGGTTATCCAACTAATGACCAGAATTGAAATATTTACCTTTAAAATTCTCGTCTTACTTCCCAATAAGAGAAAGTAGTGTAATCGTTAACGGCGAATTTTTGACAAAAAGTCTTATTGGCGGGACGTGGTAAAGAAAAGTAGATAAATCTGATTCCTATTTAGAGTAAATATCTTCCCCTCACACATTGTGTAACTTTGATTAAACGATCGCGGGTTCGAATTCCGCCCCCGGGCATGGATATTTGTGTGTCCATATGCGCGTGACCTAAAGTTACATTCCCAAGGTAAAATTATTGGTCACTATATGACCGCAGAAGTTCAAAATACACCTTAAATAATAATAATAATAATAATAATAATAATAATAATAATAATAATAATAATATAATACTACTATAATACTATAATAATAATACTATAATAATAATACTTTTTGTATTATCGCAGCCGCTACTACTGACTTCCATGTAATATGTGAATTGCCAAATTGCCTCCATTAGGAAATATAAAATGACTGTCCGTAAGGCTGTCAATAAGAAGTCTCGTATTACAACATTTCCTACTTGAAAAATAAAATGCTAATTTTATCATACGCTTCATAAATAACCATTTTATTAGTCTTGTATTTTAATAAATATTCTGTTCATTACAGGTTCTCATCAATTGGATCAACCTTGCAGGGTTCCTCTTGCCGCAGAAAGAAGATAAAGAAGTGGTCTTGTAAAAACGTCTTCTTTCTCCTTTCGATTGTATAAAATTTCCAAGTGAGTGAAACGAGAAAGTGCTTTAAGGATCTGATGTAACACAAGAGTGATAATAGTTCCTATAACGAACATTGCCTTTGAATCCAAACCAGGAATTCCAAGTTGCTGACCAATATTAAATATTTATTATTTTTATTATATATTTATTATATTTATTATATATATACACACACTCAATATATTCTATAGCGTAATTTTCAGACTATTAGAGCGCGTTAATATTGGTGTTATTAATTTTAAATTAGAAAAATTCACTCGAATGCGTCATTTGTGTTGCACAATAGAAATATCGCTACATTATATTTCCATGATGAATTTTTGTATTTAAAGTTAGTGAGAAAAATTTCGATCACACACGTGGCCTATGTATAAGGAATATCCTGAAACACTTTCGTTAAATTTATTATAGTTAAATTTGAAACAATTTAGTTCACGTTCTCTTCTTATGTAAATATTTTAATTCTATATTACAAGAAGTAGAAAACTAAAAGGATTTACATTCCTCATACCCTTTTTATATAATCTTCATTCTCAACAACCTCTTTCTTCATTCAAATTTCATATTCATAGTAAACTCATTTTTTGCAATACCTATTGACCACAAGACGTTTGTATTTTAGGTTCCAGTTTAAATTTTTAATTTCTATTAGTGAACTTATTCATTAGTTACTCGACAGATCTGGAATGCTCCTTACAAAAACACATGTAGTCAAAAAATAACTAGTCACAATTTTGGTAATGTGAGATTATTTCCTAAATGGCCAGATTTTTAAATCAAAGAAAATGGTGAGCGAAAAAATTGTAATTCCGAAAGCAGAACGAGGAATTTCAAAACCCGCTGACAATTTACCACCATACATAAAAAACGACTTCGAAGATCAGGCGAAGGAAGGACAACTAGATCTAGCAGAGCGCCTTACAAAAGAAAATGTTCAGATGTCCGCCCCAGATAACTCATTGAATCCACCTGGACGTCATCTTCCACCGAGTAATAACGTTACACCGAATTATGTCACAATGCCATTTAAAAGACTAGAAAGAGAAATAACCGATTGCCACACAAAAGCAGATGGTAACTGTTTCTTCCACGCGGTATTTGGTACTAAAAATGTCAACGGACAGTACGAAACTACACGTGGGAAAGAGATGAGAAAAGAATGGCACAATTTCTTAAGTCAGTACCACTCGTTGAAAGATGAAAACATGCCCAAGGATCTTAAAGATCAACTCAAGAAAATATTTACTATCTTCTTGAACGATCCTAGTTATTTGACTGGAAGATCCGATCACATTAATAAGTTGGTGAATGAGACTAACAAAAAAATTAGACAATCAGATGTTAAAGTAGAAGATCTAAAAACCGATATTGTAAACAAATTTTATGAGAACAAAATGTTTAGAAAAGAAATAATGGACGTCATCTGTGGTCTTGATAATACTGAGGCATTAGAAGTTGAATCGCCGTTTAGCTGTGTTCCCAAAACATCAATTAAGGATATCTTTATCCTTATCAGCCAGGAACAAGAGATATGTTACGAAACAAAGCTACAAAACGTGGAAATACTACCTCAAACACTACCAGAGAAACAAGAGCAAGGGCAGAAATTCACAGAGGAGATATCTTTTTCCTCTCGACAATCGACCTTCTCAAAATCGACCAACATCTGCAGTTGGGACATAATTTCAGGGACTGGTTAACACCTTAAATGAAGAACTAGTAAGTTAATCGACCAAAAGCAGGCTTCAGGGGACGCGTTCCCCAACCCTACAAGAAATGGCTCAATTGTCCCGGAAGTGTATATACGAAAAAAAGCAAAACAGAGCGACAAAAGATTACGAAGCGCGCCTCGAACCTACGGCTGGCTGGACACGGCATCACCACGCGACAACACCATCTCAACAACGGCTACTTCGAGCGCGATCGCTTCACCCGACCAAGCGGCAAGGGTGGTCGCCCACCGGGGACAGCATTCGACCATCGGGAGCGTGGTGGACCAACGTCAACAGCGTCGTCTTCGAAAAACTACTCGGCCGATTGAGCTCGGCCGCACGTTTCGCCGACAGGTGATCGCCGCCTTGGCGGAGCGTGCGGCGAACACTCCTCTCTTCACCGGCCACTCGCTGGGCGGGTGGCGTACCCACGTCACCTGCTTCACCGACCACTGTACTTGCGCAGACGCGAGAATCGCATCTTCGCCCAAGAACGCGCCGTCCCAGCCGTTCACTACCCACACCGTGAGCCTTCGACAATGCCGAGGGTGCGGCCATGCTACTTACGCTCGAAAGGGCTACGATCTTCGATACGAATCCTCCATGACCTTGACAACACTATCGACATTCACCAACTACCTACTCCGCCCCCAACCGCCCGTCAAACACCTACAAATTGCATTCCGACTCTGTACAGGATATTCCAGATTCATCAGACATGGGCATTCTTCGACAAACGCACGGCTAAAATACACTGAATTCACGCACGCTATGCACAGGATTGGCGAACTTTCGAAGAACACGGGCCTCAGGTTCAGGAAAGACAAAGAAGACATGGCGAAGATTCAGGAAGTAGCCGACTTGACCGTATTCGGGTGCGTTCAGAAGAGGAGAAGGAATTAGAAAGCTTTTTAAATGGGCAACACATTTCCGAAACTATACACCGCAACTAAAACGAGATATTTTCTATCATTCAAATAACACGTATTCGCGGTATCAAACGAAAAGTTTCGACGCCCACACCGACTTGTTCACTTAGTGTGGTTTGCTCCCATGAACTACTCTTTTTAGAAAGTCTGGCCTCAATATGAAACAAAGCTATATCAAATTAGATAAGCTACAAGAGTTCACCAGCCACCAACAAATTTGGGAAACTACAAGACTCCTCCGGATTTTGTCATGACAAAACGACCATAAGTGCAAAAGCTCTTGTTTAAAAAAGTTTAATAAATTTCACAAAACAAACGATGCGATGGCTATCACCAGCCGTTAACAAAGCAGTGAAGGAACAACTTGCCACTTTATTCCATCGGCAAGCTGAGTCGATGTTGGTTATGTTGGACTAAATCATTCTTAGAGTACAATGAATTACGTGACGTAGACTTCGAAAGATACAGTATCTACACAATTTTTTGACATCGACCCTTAACGTTATTGTCTATATACAACTCACGAGATATAAGATGAAAGTAGCCAAACGTACAAAGACATGTGAACGAATTCAGAGAAAACTAAAATCTGAAACTGATGTTCAGAAGAAAGACATTATATTGAGATTTGTCGTACGAATTTTCTAAGCTGGCAGCAGATATCAAGTTTAGAGAAAGTTCTGGATATTTCTAGCATATATCATCTACCATCACGGAAAGTATGATGATTTATTGTAATATTGCAGGCCGACATTTGAAAGCTAACTAATACGATAAAGCCATTTCCGAAAACACTTTGTTTCAGTTTTCAAAGAGATTCAGCATTGTAGCAAAAATTATTTTTTTCTTCAAGACGGGTCATAATTAAAGTGTAGTTCTTCGCCCACCATTCACGGAAACGCATTCAACAAGTGACGTCGGATGCCATTTCTTTAATTGAGCTGACACCGCAGTCCCAAAGAATTCTTTTGCATAAACCTCTAATAGACTTCGGGCAACTTCGTTCTCTTTGGCACCTCAAAACCAAACTATCGATCAAAAAACTATGAAAATTTACTTTCACAATTTAAACAAATATAGATCGATTCAGGTATGTTTAAAATAATTGATGATGGTCACATGGAAGGGATTCTGTTCTGTAAAAGATGAGTTTACGAATCTTACATGAAAACGTATTTTTACTCTAAGATTTTCACAAGAGTATCACTTAAGTGCGCTGTACCCATTTATCTTAAACGTCAGCTACATTATGCGGACCGTGGGAAAAACCCGCATAGCGTTCATTTGTTAGCGGAGTACCCGGAAGGGCGGTTTAAATGCAGGAGTACTAAAGACTATAATATCGTGATACAAGGGACATATCAAATAAAAAGCAACAGTAGTACTTCCATTTTTATCCACACGATGAAGAAATAAGAGCTTGAGATTCAAGCAATTTTGCCGTGACTCCACAGATAAGGGCCTGTATTGGTTGGAAGTGAGAAATGGCTTGATGTACATGGCAAAAAAGTGAGACAAACGATTTGTACATCAACCAAAAAATTTCAACGATAATATAATTTTAAAAAACAAGTATATTAGACATGCTCCTTATAGAAGAATGCCCATCCTGACCTTATTTCATGTTTCCAAAACAGTTCGCCAGAAAAGCCAACTTGTTTGATGTTTTGCAATGTCACAGAAATAAGAAAAAATATTCTCGAAATGCAAAAAATTCCTACCAATTTCAGAGAAGCAGCTATTCAAAATTTGAAAGAAAGAAAAGAGTATGACAACCCATTCATTTGATCAAGTAGAGATAGGGACCTGAGAAAAAATTAATTTGCGCAGACTTCTTCAGTTACTTGACAACTACGGGACTACATTGCAGCTCATGACAAATCAATTACTGAAAGCAACTTTCAATGAAAAAGCCAATATAGGGATGACCATTTTTCAGGGTGAGCCTGAATTCGGCACAATCGAAAGCTACTCTATCGTTTATCAAAGCATATCAACATCATCCTGGGTAATTCACCAAGGACCTTATAAAACATCCTCTATCATTGAATCACCATCGAAACATTGATATTAACTATGTCGTTCATTTTTATTACATTCAAACAATGCACATGATTTTGACTGCATCTTTTTAAAGAATGCCTCATTCAAGAAAAGATGCCCATTACACTAGTACTCATCTTCGACGGATTTGATGAAATCACAAAGATCCAATGAAAATAAAACTCATTCGGCCTAAACAAACAAACAATCCAGAAAGAGGTCATCAATTTTGGAATTCTTACAGAACACAACGAGAGCTAAATAATCTGAGATAACTAGTCGAACTTCAAAGACGAATACTATTAGAAAATCAATTCTTCAATATTCGCAAATACGTTTCAGAACTAGAAAGAACAACAAATGAAAACAGTCTGAGAAAACTTCGGATTGCTCGTTTAGGATGATAATTGTGTTGAAATGTCAAAACAAAGAGGAAAGCAGACTTTGATACAATCTTGAGAGAT